TAATTACACATTGGCAGGGAAAACGGTGTTTCTTTCCAATTATTCCAGAACTCAGTGATTATTTAAACTTTGCTAATTAGCAGCAGAGGGCTGGTACAACTTCTGGGCAAATTGTATTTGATAATCCCTATTAAAATATACATGGCAGTAGTTGACTTGTAACAAACTGGAAAAAAAAGTGGCAGTTCAAAGGGTATTAGATACAGCACAAGGCAAGTAGGGGCCTATTAAAACTTCCCCAACTGTTCTAATGAGAATGCCAAGGGTCATTTCTTCCTAGTTTACCATCTGTTTGGTTTCTGGCAAGTATCTCCGGTGTGAAGGGAGGGTCTGGGAGCCCATTTGGCTTGTCACAAAGTAAACCAGGGATCCACAGCAATTTCAGCAAGTTACAGAAGTGCACTTCAAGAGCAGTTTGTATGTATGTAACCGAAAACTTTTTCTCAAGAACTGGCATTTGCTGATTATTCCTTAGTTTTCAAAGCTGCGGAAAAGCAAAGAGAGGCAAACACTGAGCAGGAGGGAGCAGCTTGGTAGGCTCACCTAACAAGAAAAATCCAACAGTTGGTCTTTTTCTATCTCATAATGTTAGCAGGGGATGTTTTCTTTTATCTGTCAAAATCTGAAAGCAAAACATTACCACAGACCCAACAGTGTTTGAGCATGAACTGATGCCAAAACCAAGCCTCCAGAAGCTCAAAACCATGCGCCCGGTGCTGGAGTAGAGAGAGAATATGGGCACCTCCGACACCTTCAGTGCTTGCTCTGGACCCATGCACCACTGGCACAGCCACAGCACATCCTGATGCCCTCTTGGAGACAGAAGTGCAAGTGCCCTTCAGCCACCCAGGCACCACACGGCCCTTCTTTCTCCAGGGATGAAATTGGCAACACTGCTGATGACTCCCACCTGCAGTAAATCTGCCCTAAGTCTGCATGTGTCCTGTGAACCAAATCACAGAGATTCTTCAGCCAAAAATCTTAAAGGGCTTTTGGTTTTGGTCTGCAATGCAAACATACATAACCAAAATACCAGTGAGAGGATTAGGTGAAGGCTGCCTTAATCCTGTCAAAAGGCAACAGAGTAATTTAGAAGAAAAAGAGCATAAGGTAGAATGTAATGGCAAGAAATTATTTCTGATGATTGTTCTTCCCAGGCATTCTTCTAGGAAATTTATTGCTGAACATACTTTAAGGAATATTTGTAACTCTTTTAAATTAAAACAAAACAAGAAAAAAATTCCAGAGACTCAAGGTATTACTTACAGAATTTGTGATGAACTCAATACAGAAGCAAGAATTGCAAAGCAGGAAAAATTACAAGATAATCTTCTAAAGAATGATCTTTCATATGCTATTTTTTGTTTGTTTGTTTGTTTCCTAGCACATGGAATTCTCTTCTTCAGGCCCTAAAATGTTTCCAGATAACATCACTCTCATAGACTCTTATGAAGTAGCCCGCAGAATTAAACAAAAGCTAAAATTCATCAGCAGTTTATGACTTCGATTTAGATAGGAGACATCTGTTTTAAAAGGTAGTGACTTATTGTATAAACCTATGCAGAAAATAAGCCCAAATCTTTTGTTAGCCAATTAGGCCTCTGGCAACACTTTTCAGAGCAGGGAGAGCTCGGAATCCACTGTCTCTACCACAAAACACAGAATCTGTATATGGTCTATAGGCCCTTTTAAATTTAGCTTAAAAGGTTAATGTATATATGACTGCTATTATAAAATTACTTGTTTATTCTACACTTACTAAAATGTAAACATCAGTGTAATGATTAATTACGATTCACATAAAATTAGACATGTTTTGGCTTAACTACAAAGGCTTACATTTTCTGTAATGAGGACAGATTCAGGTTCTCAGTTGAGGGATTATGCTGCAATCTCCTTTAGTAGAAGAAATGATACTGTGCTCCCTGCTTTCAAGTGCATATAGTTTTGGAGGAACCCAGTTGCATTCTTGCACTTATCCAGGTTAGATCCCTCTAGCCACCCCCAGCACCACTGAGCCTTAATCTCATTTGTAAGCCACCATTCTCATCAAAACTGACCACTGCATTTGGATCTTCCAAACATGTTTTTAATTGCTGCTCTTTCCTACTTTTCTGTAATATTTTTTCAAGAAGTCTAACAGTGGCCATATGTACATCCCACCCTACATGTGGCAGAGTAGCCTTGGTGGGCTGATAAGCACTCAGTGCAGTTACCATGTCCCATGCAGTAGAAAAGAGGCAGAACACCAGCAAGGGCCCTCAGACTCAAAAGAAGGGAAGGGAAGGGAAGGGAAGGGAAGGGAAGGGAAGGGAAGGGA